CCCCAAAACCCCAAAACCCCAAAACCCCACAGATCTATCTCAAAATTGTTAAAATAAAAGACTCAATAATCCAATTAAATATTTTATAAATGGAACTTTCTGAAAACCTGGCAAGTGAACTCTCCAACCCAGTGGCTGAAGACTCCAAGCAGGACATGAGTGAACTCGTACAGGCGGAGAGGCAGGTGCAGACTCTTGGGCGTATGCTTGCTCTGTATGGGAACATGAACAAGAAGTATACGACCAGGATTGCCCAGATTAAGACGGAGATCGAAAAGATCAAGCGCCAGGGAGATACAGACAGCTGGGGCTTACATGAAAGTGGTGAAGATGGAGGTCAAGAGAGGATTAATAGGTTGAAGATGACCACAGATGAGATTTTGCAAGGTTTAGAGAGTTTTGAAGGGTTGGAGAGATCAGAAGAGGTGAAGCTTTTACAAGATGAAGATTCGAAATAAACAAGGTATGAAAGAAAATCAAGATTTTGATAAGATTCTTTGTTCTAGTTATGAATCGTAGCTGTTATTTAAAGATAATATGAATATCTCAACTCTTCGCTACAATTTTCTTTGCCAGCTGAAGCTTGACAATCCTAAGTTCGATCAATACTTGCTTTTACCTTAAAATTTTGCATCAACCTTTACGATCTATTATCTAAATCTGAGTAACAATTGAGAAAGCTTTAGTCTCCGAGAACAGGTAACAAGAGCAAGGTTGTGGCTCTGATCTATTCTAACAGCTAGGGTTACAATGACTAGCTAGATTACTAATTTATAATTTTGTACAAGTGATCTTCCTCATTGATGCTTGAGATATTTTTCTACTTCATCAAGCAAATGTTATACATTCTGTGTAACTTTAGAGTCCAATACTTATGGAATAGCAATATTTACTTCAATAATTAAACAATTGATCGCTCTCATTTATACATATGGTTTGGATTTTATCAGAGTATCAAAGACTTTAAACAATGTTCTCCTCTTAAGAACAATAATTCTTACAGCTACTAGCATTTCCGAAGTTTCCAAGCATTCATCCAGAATCTTAGTTCCTTTGTCCTAGATTGCGAACACATTTAATTATTGATGAACTTGATCCTTCTGATTGGAGATTCAGCTATAATATGTAAAAGACAAAGATATAACTTAACGAATTGATTTTAGGTCAGGATGAGGGAGCCCAAATAGATCATGAACTCACATCAGCCTCAAAGTTAATGGGTCATACCCTCTTGGAAAAGACAAGAAATAGTCCACTTTGACTGTCTAGAGCTGCAATGAGTGAGCTTCAAAAACAGGCAAATTCCATAAATAAGTTTGCATATTGCAGACTTTTGGACAATATTTGAAATCTCAATGGGCATGGACACAATGAAATGGAAGAACATAATGAGCTATCGGTGTTCTTAGCTCAACAGAGACTCATTTATTTTTTGAATAAGACCAAAAAGATGCTTCTTCCCTGCCTGGAAAAAGTTTACTTAGGTGATATCACTAAATCCTATAGACTTGCTAAGCATTTTCTAAAGAATTGTTTCCCTCTAGATGGTATTAATTGGCTCAAACTATCTGCTGCAAGTCAAATAGATATCAGTTGCTATTTGTTCGAGATCATTAAAGCCAGCTACAGAGTCAAAAGCACTCTAATCCTTACAAATTTTAGGTAAGAATTTTTTCGAAATTGAGATTGCAATTTCTTAAGAATAAGAACCTTTTACTTTGAGTGGAATTTATCAACATATACTAAAAGCCTAGTCTTTCATTTAGTCATTTTTACGAAATAAAGAGCCTGACTATTTCAAAATAAAATCCTTTTGAGTTTGTAGCAATTGTGCTAGCTTCTGGTACCATTGTGTATTCAATTCAATCCCCAGCCGAGCCGACTTTACTGCCTCACTATAATCAAATATGATTTAAATAGTTAGGATTCTTATCATTAAGCTAATATTATCTCCTATTCCATGCTAAAGAGTTAATTCTCCCATGTTAATAAATGCAGCTAAAGCATGTATTTATCCAAAGCTACTGAGTCAAGTCATTCTTAGAGATTAAACACTATTTAAGTAAATTTGGTTTGAGAAATACTGAAAGATATAATAATTCTTTGTTTTTGTCAGGCATTAACTTGCAAAAGCCATCTAAACTTCATGTTTTAGGATGAACGAGGCTCAGCTGAACAAGCTCCTATTTGCCAACAAACACAAAGAGAAGATAATGTTTGAGCAATGTAGGCTTTGTCTCCCAGAGATATCAAACTTGGGCAAGTACCTCGAGGGGACCACCATTCGGCAGCTGTATCTGTTCAACTGAGAAACCCCAGACTATTGCAACTGGATCCAATTTCCAGACCGATTAGAGAACCTCATCTCAGGAATTTCGAGATGCTATCTCAGAGACTCTTTGAGAGAAATCAACTTTGGCTGGAGAGGGCTACTGTCGGAAGGATGGATCGAACAGACCTTCAAGAGATATGGTTTGGACCATGTTAAGATTAGTGGAAATTTCAGGCTTTCCTAGAGTATTGCTCCTTTCAAAACTATATTAGCAATATGAATCGTTACTCTCTAGAACGAAATTTAGGTCTTGGGTAAGTAAAGGTCTTCAGAATATCCTGACGATATCCCATTTCAATCGAGTGGCCTCCTCTTGGGGTTTTGGGGTTTTGGGGTTTTGGGGTTTTGGGGTTTTGGGG